ATGTTGGAGGAAGTGTTTCTTCCCTTCAGCACTACCTCAAATCATTTAGCAGAAATCCGCTTTAATCTCCACAGAGGCCAGGGCATGGAGGTAGAGGGGGGCACCTGGGCACCTACGGTCAGCATGGCAGTCACTGCTGCCCTAACTGCTCAAGGTGACCACTTAACAGTGATGACTGAGGGCTTTGCTGTGCTGGATGTTCCCAGGTTTGTAGCAGTTATTTTCTGCAGTTAGGGAGATGCAGCCATTTTACTTTTTTAGAGTGAGCAGAGCTGGGCTTTACTGGTGGGTAAGGACTTGCTCCAGGCCGGAGAGCAAATGTTACCATTGCCCATGCTGCCTCTGTCCCCATCTGTCTGTTTTTACTCAATAGCTCTATCCCCGTCCCCTGCTGCAGAATGTAATCAGTCCCATGGCTGGAATTTGGCCAGAAGACTGTGGCTAACACTCCCACCCCATTTTTTATGCAAACTTGATTTATGACTTTGATCTTATTTTAAATAATTTAAAAATTAAATAATTTATACAGTATCTGTCACTTTCTGAGGCTCCTTGCTTTGTTCTTGCTTTGCTCTTCTGCATTTTCCCACCTTCCCAACCCTTTTTGATCTCTGCACATTTCCTTTTCTGCGTGGTGGGGCAGCAGTGACATGAGACAGTTGCTAACTATTTCCCAGTTTCTTCACGGAAAGAAGACCTGCAAGAACTTTTGGTGCTGTTGTGTATTTGGGCCAGGACTATGCTATCACCATTCATAGTCTGGTGACTTGATTTTTACTGCTCCTGATTCTGGGCTTGGCCACCCCACTGCATACAAAGGTCTAAGAAGGTCTGTTTTGCTGGAGCGTGTGCCTGCAGGTTCATTCTTGACTGGCAACAAATCAAAGGTCGTGCCACCTAGCTTCAGTCTCCTTCTCTCCAGCCTGGGTTCAGATCTATACCTCACACTGACCGTAACCAAGACTGCAGAAACAGCTATCAATACCCAGCTGATGTACATCCACAGTAATCTGACAATAAAATGGGCTGGTGGCCTCTACATGTGTGAACTAAAATAAATAATTGCCCCATAAAAAGGGAAGTTAAATTAGTATGGGAAGATACTGCTGAAAAGAAAAAAACCAACAACCTAAAACAATCCAGAAAGACTGAAACAAATTAGTATAGAGGCTCTGGGAGTTTTAGGGAGCCATGAAACATGACTTGCCTGAGCCGCATACAAAAAAAGGTGAGGTGGGTCTGATGTGACTTTCTGTGTCACTGAAAAGGCACACAGAGTTAGTACCAAGCTTTGTCTGGTCTGCTTGCAGGTGGCACATGAGGAGAGGAGGCAAAACCACACTCAGAGGAGAATTCCCTTTGCTTCACGATTTTTTTACCTCTGGAGCTGAGGCCATATGGCTGGTGAACCGCCAAGGTAAGGCTGTGGCTGCTATCAAAGTTAAAGTTGCTTAAGCAGAGGTTGAGTGGGTTGGTAGCGAGCAGCAGCAGGGAGTGAACCACCACAAGGTGATCTGCCGGTCTGCAAAGGAGGTAACTTACAGAGGAGTTGAGGCCCAAGGCAGTCCTGGTGGCAACACCAGTGACTATCAGTCAGACACTGCTGTATGGGGACCCTCGCTGTTTCTCCTCAGTGGTGCTGCTGGGTTTGCAAATCCACAGCTGACCACTAGCCTCTCAAACAACTGCATCTTGTGGGGTTCTGCAGTGCTGGCCACCTGGATGCATGGGGACCTTTCTGCAGGAGCTAATCCAGTCCCAGTGATCTGCATCATGCCTCTCTGAGGGAGGTTCAGTATGAAACTTCTGCCTAGGGGACTTCTCAACTTTCTCCATGGGGACAGGCCATTAGAAACTACAGATTAACCAGCTCTCATGGGATATCTTGGGAACTCTTTTATGGAGACACCTGTCAAGCTTAAACTGTAGTGGCATAGCTGGATGGACAGGTTATGAGTACAAAGCAGAGAGGATAGTGTCTGGCTAGTCCTGGTCTTACTATTAAACACTGAGGTAGTTCTTAAACTTGTGTTTTCATCATACCCCTTTGTGAAAACCTGTGGCGAGATAGCACAAAAGAGAGCCATGTTCCTCAGGGAGAAGGAAAAATAAATAAATCTGATCATCAGCTTCATTTGTACAGGGGGGATTGATATCAGGATGTCAAATGATTCACCCAAGGTCACACAAGTTGCTGGTGGCAGTGGCATCATCTGTCATCACTGTCCTGCTCTTGTATTTTCTCTGTTTCACATTCCCTCCTCTTGACTTGCCTTAGCTCTTCAACTTCTCTTTGGGCTGAATAAAACTAGCCCCCCTTTCCCTCTCCCCCTATCGATCCCTCCATCTCCTGCTGGCATTTGTGAGGTGCCAATCACCCTGATATCTAAGAGCCAGCAGTTTGAGGTGGATTAATCCAGACCGAGGGAACGTCACACAGCCCTGGTGCTCCTTTCCTTCCCTTTTGTGTGAGACTGCGAGATGAAGCAGACAGGGAGAGACACAGATAGGGAGGCTGATTGAGAGACAGCATCTGAGCACGCTCTGGGTGTACAGGCACCACACAGAAATGTGATCCCGTCATTTAGACAGCTCTGAAGTCCCCAGGGTAATTGGTGTCACCAGCTTGTCATATCTAATGGGTCAAGATCTAAAACTTATTCTTTCCCCCTTATTAGCATAGTTAAGAGGAAAAACGAGGATTGTTCCAATTCTACTTTCACAGAAATCAATAGGAAAAATATTCATTGGTTTCAAGTAGTGCAGGAGCAGACTCAAGGATTGTTTTCACTCTTCCTTCAGGGATAAATCCTCACTCAAACACTTATTATGTCTTGTATTGTCTGATGAGAAGAGGAAGCAAGTTGTGCTCTTTTATATATCAGTATAAACCTAGTCTGGCAAACAGAATAATTACTCTAGATTAAAAACTGTGTGAGAAGAGTTTTTGGAACAGAGCATCAGGACAGTGTTGTCCTTACCACCTCTCTAGCTTCCTGATCAATGCCTGTAGTGTAACACTGGAGCTACATCTCATCCCTGACAGCCTCTGCAGATGTTTTTCCTGAGCTGTCCATGGGTTGCCTCTTCTTAATTCCTCTGGTACCTGGAGGTACATGTACCAAGCACATTCCTGGCTGCATCACTCTGCCAGGATGCTGGCCACTGACCTGGGCTCAGCTGTGATTTACTGTCTCTTTTCTTCTTCCTGCAGCCTCCTCTGGCTAGGAGGACAGTTAAACACAGCCAGGCTGGAAAAGGGACAACTCTTCTATCATGTCAAGGGAGAAGGTGACACAGAAAGAGATAAAGATTGTCTTTGACGAGGAATAAAAATTAAGAGGGCAAAATGGAAGGAAAACCAGAATGTGTCTAGTGGGGAGAGAATAAAAATGTTCAGAATAACACCAGGAGGTGCAGCTGGAAGGAGAGGGATAACACCTGTGGAGCTCTATAGCATGTCCTTGTGACTCTATATGGCTCATGTAAGGTGTGGGCTGGGTTCTACTAAGTATACAGGTAGTTATGCCAGAGGGATCCATTTCAGAGCTTCATCAGGAGCCCAGTTCCTTATAAGGTCACATTTTCTCAGGGGCCCAGGGTCCAGGTTGGGTATGTTAGTAGAATACCTGAAGTTACTGCAGCGCTGGTTTAAATAGCAGATGAATTTTCCCGGTGTGCTTAAATCATATTGTTTTGGAGAGACAGGACTCTATATGTTCATATGTCTGCTCATCCTTTTTTAGTACTATCTAGCATGTTTTCACAAATCTAAAAGCAATTCTGTCATCAGCTGCCAATTTATTCTGTGGTCACTCCAAAGGTACCCACAATGATGCATGGTGAAGCAGGGACCTGGCCAAATGGAGCAGAGCCATCTCCCCCATCCAGCTGTCTGTGTGTCCTGGTAGCAGAGGGGAGCCAGAAGGGTATTTGTGCCTTCACAGATATTTGTTGGCACCAGATGGTGCTGACATTGGGCAGAGAACAAGGATAAACTGAATTCAGGCCTATTCTATCCAAATCCTCTAAGGCTAGTTGTGTTTGAATTTGACAGCAACGGCTTAGAACCTATAGGAAGTGTCTTGCATGGGTGAACACACGATCACGGTTTGGTTACTGCTGGAATTGACTATTGCACCTCTGAGACTTGTCTGGGCGATGCCCCTCTCTACCCTGGATGGCATGGCAAGAGAAGTGTGGCCAGCAGGTCGAGGGAGGTGATTCTCCCCCTCTACTCTGCTCTGGTGAGACCCCACCTGGAGTACTGCATCCAGTTCTGGAGCCCCCATTACAAGAGGGATGTGGACCTGCTGGAGCGTGTCCAGAGAAGGGCCACCAGAATGGTCCGAGGGCTGGAGCAGCTCTCCTATGAGGACAGACTGAGAGAGTTGGGGCTGTTCAGTCTGGAGAAGAGAAGGCTCCGAGGTGACCTTATTGTGGCCTTCCAGTACCTTAGGGGGGCCTACAAGAAAGCTGGGGAGGGACTTTTTTAGGATATCAAGTAATAACAGAACTAGGGGGAATGGGGCAAAGCTGGAAGTGGGCAGATTCAGGCTGGACATGAGGAAGAAGTTCTTCCCCATGAGAGTGGTGAGACCCTGGAATGGGTTGCCCAGGGAGGTGGTTGAGGCCCCATCCCTGGGGGTCTTTAAGGCCAGGCTGGATGAGGCTCTGGGCAGCCTGATCTAGTGGGAGGTGTCCCTGCCCATGGCAGAGGGGTTGGAACTGGGTGATCCTTGTGGTCCCTTCCAACCCTGACAGATTCTGATCTGTTTTAGCAGAGGACTTTAGAGCCCTAACGGCTCAATGGTTGGACTTGATGATCTTGGAGGTCCCTTCCAACCTAAAGGACTCTGTGATTCTATGTAATTAGCTTGACAGAGAAATCACCGGTTCCTCCTCTGCTCAGTTTTCCCTTTGCTAATGTGTGCTTTTGTGCAGTTCCAGGCACTGTTCCTGTTCCTGTGAGCATGCGTCGAGCCAGTGTCTATACTTACTGCCTGTGCATAGGCGCCGTAGGCTCCGAACTGGATGGCCATGGGGTTGAACATGCCCATTTGTCCCGCCATTTGCTGCATGCGTCGCATTGTACGCTCCTTGTCCGTATCTGCAAACTTCACCACCAGGCTTGAAGAGGCTCCCTGCAGGACAAGAAACAAAAGGAGGCACACAAGAGAGTCAGTGCAATACCCATTGACTCAGGAAATCCATACATCTAACACAGGTTTGGTAGGATGGGATCCAGCTGCTGCTGATTTTTTCCATGCAATGTCTCAGGCCTTTTGAATTCAGGTTTTCCAAGAAAGTGAGAGCATCAGAAAGGAAAAAAAGGACCCTGGAGTGCAGGACTGAGGGCAGCAGTTTGGTTCCTAGTTTCCTCCAAAATTCAGATTTCCATGCTGTAATTAATGTTTGAATGTTTTTTTTTGTTGTTTTTTTTTTTTTTTTTTCTTCCCCAAAAAAAAGTTGTTGCCTTATTCTTTTAAAGTATAAAAAACCACCTGGCCCAGCAGGTTGTCCTTATGAGAGGACAAAGATCTGTACTCAGTGCAGCAAAAGATGTGGGATCTTTTGCTGGTTAAATGTAGGAGGATTTGTGAACCGATTTGTTTTGATGAAATATGTTAGCTCTGTGCATGTCAGATCCCCTGAGCTGGATCACTCTCTCACACTGCCATGTATTCTAACACCCATGTTCCATGAGAAATCCATGCCAAGACTTGGAGACAAGATTCGTTAAGCTGAGCAGAGGATATGTCTCACCATGAAGCAGCATCTCTTTGGCACTGTTAAACTAAGGGATCAAAAATAGTACCTGGTTAACCTGAGCCTCCTCTCCATTAACAGTGGGAAAAAGGTTACCATGAAAGAGCCCACATTTAATGTTACACTTTTCCAGGAAAGTTTCACAGTTTTTGGGATATGTCTGCAGTCAACATTGGTGCAGAACTATAAATGATCATCAGAGCAGGCAGTAGAAGTCTGAGAAAAATACAGAGCTTTTGGAAATGAGAGAAATCCCTCTCCTCCCCAAAATGAGATGAAAGCTCAGGAACTGCAACTCTTAAATTTCTGATAGGAGGCAAAGATGGGAAGAAATAGACCTGCTTAGGAAGACAATGATTTTTTTTTTGGCTGGCTCCAAGGCTGTCCTAACTTCAAGGGCTGGTTGATTCCCCACAGTGCAGACTCCCTGGGGGAAGAGGGGTGCAGGGGAGGGCAAGTCCAGGAGCAGCCCTGACAGCAGGCAGAGAGTTGCCCTGGGAGCTGGGCTGCCACTGAGCCTGGGGAGATGGGCAGGTGAGCTGTCAGGAGACTGGCAGAGAGCAGCTGAAATCATTGTGCTCCTATGCTATGCTTCCCTTTTGACACACTGGTATTCACTTATGGAAATACCATCAGTGGGGAAATTGCCAGCTCAGCTTCTGTCTGTGGCGGTAGAGGAAAACCAGCTCCATGCCAGAGGAGCTGGGCTGTTGTGTGGCCCTTTTTTTTTCTAGCAGAGATGAGATTGGCTGGGATTGCACTGGGAAAGTGTCTTAGGTGGCTTAAACACAACCCTGTCTACCTGTAACCAGAAAAATATAGTCTCGGTGAAATCAGGGTTACTCTACTATGAATTTGGGAAAACACAGTAAACCAGAGATGTAGACATACACTTATATAACTCCAAGCAATGCATATTCAGTAGCCTTTCCAGATCCTCAGTTATGAATAAAGACTTGAGGAATTAACTTGCTAAAAAATGCCCACCATGTAAGGCCACACAATGAGTGATGTTCCCCTGGATTAGCAGCCTGTTCTGAGAGGAAATTATTTGCATCAGCAAAGAATCTTTCTTTTTGACCTATTAGTGTCTCTCTAATAAATCTATAAACCACTCAAACAATGTGGTGAGGAGCAAGGGGTTGAAAGAAGTGCTTGAGGAAAACAAAGGGATGGTGAGATGAATGCCCCATTCAAGGGTGGAGAGCAGTCTTCAGAAGTTAGAAAAGCAAACCAGACAGCAGGAGGGTGGAAGAAAAAAAAAAAAAGAAAAAGCTCTAACTGAAATTCCCCTGCATTTCTGCTCAAGGCTGGGTGACTTTTCATTTTTTTTAAATCACATGAGGTAGTTATTGATCCTTCCCCAAATCACACTCTTAATTGCAGCTCATCGACAAATGAATATTTTAATGCATACATTTCCTGCTAATTATCACCTGGACCAGTCCTTAATTAGATTTCAACACTCATTTAATTAACCCTGATCCAAAAGACTGCTTGGTAACCTGAATCTAATGATTTAAACCTATTTACAGCAGTATTGGAGGGAGGCACTGGTCCACAGCAGATTGGGCTGTTCAGAGCTGCTGTTGCGATGCACAGAGCAGAGGCTGCAGCATGGTGGGCATAATGCAGGATGGAGGATTTGGAAACTGAATAAAGTGAATGTATATTCATCTCTGCAAATGGGCTAGGAAGATGCGACCTGCTCTAGGCATCAGGAAAAAGAACGGTAAATATGTTGGTGTTTTCCTCCTTCCCCTTTTCTTCATGTCTCTGTTTGCCCTGGAGGTCTTGGGGCCAGAGAACTGCCTCAGCAAATTGCTGATGCCTCACACTGTTGAAACTCAAACTGTTATTGTAGATGGCATCATGAGAACATGGGTAACCTCCACAGAAAGTTCTTGCCCCTGAAGTGTTCTTCCCTCCTAATGAGAGTCACAGTGGCTGCACAGCAGCTGTTTGACCCAATGGGATCTAAGACTGCCTCTTATGAGATGTTTTTCTGGGTTGTCTGTCTCAGCAGGACTTCAGGCCTCTTTGAACATCGCTATCGTCTGCACAGGGCAGGAAGGCCATTGGCAAATAGCAACAAGTTAGAGCACACACTACAAAGGAAGAGGAAAAAAAGGAGGGGTTTTTAAGAGTGCTCTGCAATGAGATGCGCACATAAGCGATTACAGTTATGTGGCCAGTATAGATGTTGCATTGTGCTTGAATATGAAGATTGACCTTGGGATTGATGCTTTCTGTACATGGTTCCTCATATGCAGCCCTTTCACATGACCCAAAGCAAATCAGGCAGTAAACTCTTATTGGATCACCTAGTGTGGGACTTTTAGCAGAGGAGCCAAAGAGTGCTGTTCATCTACAACAAAATGAGATTACTTACTACTTCAGTGACTCGTACTAATCCACTGGACAACATTAAAAATGCTCTAGAATGGGCCAGATTTTCCATGGGGTAAAAAATGCAGAGTCCTTCACCTGGACTATTTATTGCTTCCGCAAGCAGCTAAACCATGGTGTGTGTCAGCCGTTCCCTGCTGACAAAAGCAATAGGTCCTGTCTGCTCACTCATTTATTAGTAACACATAAACTCCTTCTTGCTCTCTCTGGTTGTTGGACCAGACCTTGTATTTCACCAACCCCCAAGAGAGTTACAGTGGGTAAGTCAATAATGTTTGAAATGTACTTTGAGTTCTATGTGTTAATTCTGCATTTTACTGAAAGAAAGACCTGTTCATTTCTCTACCCTGCAGATCCATAGTCAAAAGAAACTATCATGAAAGTGAGCATTCTTGCTTGCACCTTTGCAAGAGACTACTTGGAATTGGAATTTATCTCCTTTCTCATCAAATCAGCTTCCTTTTTCAAGTGATTTGGTATCTACTGATGAAAAGAATAATAGAAGGGCTAAGTATTTTTATGGTTTCTCTATTCTCTCTTGGGCCAGCAAGTCTACTTAATATAACTATCCTGCTACCCCTCCCATATGTGGTAATGAATTTCTCCCCTTAGTCAGCACACTCAGATTCTCTCTAGGCTGGCAGGGCAAGGGAAAAGATGGAGGAAAAATCACTGCACCACACTCACTTTGTAACCCCTAATCAGAGTCTTCTGTGGGAAAAACTAATTTCCAAGCCTGTCTTGATGTGTGAAATAAAGTCATTCTTGAAAACGGGAGCTTGACAGGTCACTTGTGAAATTTCATATTCAACTAAAAATAAAATATCCATCCATTGATATTTCATTTAAAGGCAAAGGAAAACAAATATTTTGCCTGGTTGTTGGGACTGTTTCACATCAGTTATAGCTGTCCAAGTAGAATCTATACACAAATTAAGCAAAATCTTTTCAGGAGACCAAATAATACCACACAGCATCCAGGGAAAGCTGCTTCTCCCTAGAACAATTCTCATAGGGAAAGTTTTGTGAAGACGTTTCCTTGAAGAATACGTGCCCGAACTTTCTTTGCCAGTCAGCTGTGTAAGTCTCCTCTGACTCAGTATGTTACAGAATCACAGAATGGTAGAGGCTGGAAGGGACCTCTGGAGATCATCTAGTCCAACCTCCATACAAAAGCAGGTTCACCTAGGGCAGGCGCTACACAGGAATGTGTCCAGGCATGACTGATCTCCACAGATGGTTAGACATGTTTTTCTTGCAAATTTGATGAATTTGGGCCTAATTCCCCAAAGCCATTAAATTATGTTTCACTTTAAGCTTAGTGAATGTCATATTGGAGGTAAGCATACATGGCAATGATGTCTCTCTCATTCGGGGGGACTTTTCTATCCTGGTTAGCTCAAATGAAGCCAATTAAAAGTTCTGGGCCAAAAATATTTTTTAAATCCTTGTTATGTTGAAATTCCACTGACTAAAGCTCTTGAGTATAAGATATGAATGTGCAGATCCTATTAAGTACCTTCAAAAATGTCAGCTGTGCACACCAGCTAAGATGCTTAAATGAATATGTAGTGCTGGATACTTCTCGTTTGGGTAATTAGACTAACTTCCTCCATGTCACCACCTGAATAGGGTTTCAAAGCAAAGCTGGGAGGATGCTGACCTTCAGCAAGCCATTTAGGGTAGTATTTCTAGACATGGATCCTTGATGTTTGGGTCCAAAAGCTGAGTAATAATTTCTTTGCTTTGGGCTCTGTCAGATCAGGCCATTTAGTATGATGCCTCCCAAGTTTGAAAACAAAAGGGTGGTTTTTTTTTTTTATTTATTTATTTTTTATTTTTTTTTTTTTGTTGTTGGAAATGGCTATGTAGCTCTACTGAAAATAAGGCTGTTGAATTAATCAGTGGGGCTTTGACCCCAGCCTGGGATTTTAGACAAGTAAAAAAGAAACTGCTGTCCAATTAA